ATGCCTGCCAATTCTTACCTATACGGTAGGATGTTAGGGTTATCCGGTACATTTCACATTCCTGTTTTAAAAATTATGTCAACACTCCTTTTCATTCTTGTACCTATATCAGTCGGAATAGCCATCAAGCATAGGATGCCTGAAAAGGCAAACCGTCTAGAGAGAATCATTCGACCTCTGAGTTTTATTTTAATGTCCGTGGGGATTTATATGACTTTCAGGATGGGGTCCGTGTTTTTAAAAACAGTCAGCCGAGAGGTGCTTCTGTTGGGTGTCTTAGTTCCTGCTTTGGGTTTGTCGTTTGGGTACTCCTTCGCTAAAGTCTCCAGGCTGCCTCTTCCTGTGTGTAAAACTGTCGCTGTCGAAAGTGGGTTACTGAATAGCTTCTTAGCCCTGGCCATTATCCAGCTCTCTTTCTCCCAGCCCAAGGCCGACTCAGCTTCTGTGGCTCCTTTTACAGTGGCCATGTGTTCCGGGTGTGAAATGTTACTGATCCTTCTGTTCTATAAGGCTAAGAAAAGATTTTTCCTTATCAGAGAAGATAAAAGGAAAAAAAATTCCCTGATCTAACTGTCAAAGCATGACAGAGTCCCCATGCCGAACAAGAGTCAAAGACTATCTAAAGTGATGCCTGCTCTCGACCCACTTATGATCTCATTGGAAACTTGACGCCGGGGGGATTGATATACAGTATCGTGTGTGCTAAACACCCAGTGAGTAGTACAGAAAGTGAACTGTGCCGGAGCTCAGGAGAAGGGGACCGCTTTGCGGCTGCGTCATTTGAGGAATTTTATACAGTTGGCTAAGAACAGGATACTTCATTATGGTCTCTTAGGTGAGAAAGAGCAATTTGAAAAACCTGTAGTGATTATGATAATCTCCCAAGTACTTATGCAAGGGATGTCCACATAATAGGCATTCAGTAAATGCTAATAGTATTAGGTAAATTTTGTTTAGGTGATAAGACAAAGTTGTTTGGTTTTTTTTCCTAATTTCACCAAATTCAGTATACGAATACCAAGATTTATAAAAGACGTGCTTTGGCGTGCTGGTGGATGGTTATTATTCGCTTTATAAAATGACAGTTGCCTACGTGGACTTTTTACTCCTGATTCCTTTGACAGAAATCCCCACTTAGGGGCTTAGGGGTTTCAAATATAATTTAGCTTGCACGAATTGAACTTATTGGCATTTTCACGAGCACATTTTACTGATCGGACACAAGCGGCCTGCTTTTCTCGTTGCACTTTGTCATTCACTTTGTGACTTCAAGCAAGACACGTCTCTGCGCTTCAGCTTCCAAATCCGTAAAGTGACGAGACCGACTGAGGTCTAAGACCTTGCTCAACTCCCAAATCTACGCTCTGACACAGAGCTCCAGGACATAGCACCAGGGCCAGGGTGATGGGGACGGGTGGCGGCGGGGGTGGGTGGGGAGCTGGGGCTGATGAGGGGCCTCTTGAGAGCAGGGACCACATATTATTCTTCAAATTCCCTACGATGTTTATCACAATGCCTCGAACAGAGTAGGCATTCTTTAAACATTTATTGAATTAATCAGCAATATCTATAAAGGTCAAGATCACATACTCCGGAGCCAGACAATTCCAGCTCTGTCACCGTCCAGCTGGATGACACTGGTCAAATTACCTGATGTCTAAATTCATATGGAAAGTGGGGCTGACGATAGCACCCACCTCGCGATTTTGTCGTGAGGATTAAATGAGTTAATATGAGCGAGGTCCCCAGAACACTGCCTAACGCAGAGCAAACTCATTGTGTAGTACTCCGCGCATGTGTGAATGATCTTCCACGTCAAAAGCAGTGGAAAATGTGTCGATGGAACTTAGAATGTATTTTATTTCTCTTACAGACACATTGAAAATGGAATTTTCCATAATAAAATTTGTCTAATTTGGATTGGCGTGAAGTTACTCAAGTTATTCTTTTTTTTTTCTCTTCTTTATAGGAATGAGATGCAGTAAAGCATGCTATCTAATTGGTCGAGTTCATACCAAGTATTTTACACAGCCAAGACTGGTTAGAAAAAGGCTGAGGGGTTAGGCCAGTTTTTTAAAAAGCCCTTAAGAGAATGATTCTATGACATGTTGTCCCAAGAATAAAAATTCTATGATACACTTATATCTGAGGAAGCTGTAGATGTGACAGGACATGTCAGAGCCTTAACCAATACCTGCAAGTCCAACCTATGTTATGTCAAAATATGAAGTCTAGTTAGATATTTTGGAGACCCTACCTCCTGAGGACCTGCGCATTGTATATATAACTTTTATTATCATTTTTAATCCAAGTCCACTAAACAACTATTCCCCAAGAAAGTCGTGTTACATGGAACCTGACTATTTTTTAGTGAAAGGAGGTGCCACTTAAAAGCAGTCAGCTCCCTAGAGATACCCAGGGTCGCTAGGGAAGGAATCACGCGATAGTTCCTTTTTATTACGCAAACAGGGCAATCCGGCACCTCTTGCCCCAGCAGAAGGGTGACGGACCGCTCCGTCTTGGCTAAGGCCCTCCTTCCCCAGAAACCCCTCCGTATCCGGCAGGGGCAGGCCTGATGGAGGGTCAGGGGCATCAGATCGCCCCTCTCTTCCATTCAGAGATGAACATACCAGAACCTCTCTCGTGGGTGGAAGTCAGCTGGCAGGAGGAGATAGCAAAGGTCGCAAGAGGAAACTGGCCATGCAGGAGGTCTGGAACTCTAGCGGGGACACCACACCAGGGGAGGGGTTTTGTCCTGGCACCACGCACGGCCGCGTCTGCGTCCTGATCCCTCCCTCTGTCCCAAACACCTCAGCGTGGTCGGTGACCTTTGGGATTCGGAACAGTGACCTCCTTTGGGGGGGGGGGAGGTGGTTAAACAGGTCTCTGAGGACATCTCCGCAAATGCCTGGACAGCTCTATTTGCTCACGAACCTACATTTGGCACCATGTAGTTGGCAAGATTTTTATTTTAAGATCCCTGACAATGAAAAACCAAAGAGTTAATTTCTGAAGTTTTTCTCTCTCTCTCTCTCTTTTTTTTTTTAAGCAGGAAAACCAAAGCATTATTTGCTAGATTAGTCAAGGCATCCGAGTCAGGTACTTGAGGCATTGTTCTTTATTAGAATGAAAACCAAGTTCAGGTTCTTAGTGAGGTTTGAGAATTGGTCCCATCATTCACCGGTCACCTCTGAGGACTCTTCCATTTGCGACATGTCGGTGAAAACACCTTGTCTTGATCAAACAGCCACAAGCAATCTCTTCACCAGCAATTTGCCGAATAACCTGCCTTCCGGCTTTCCTGGTCCTGGGGTGGCTAGGACATCTTGTATCTGGGGACTGCTTTTTACATTATAATGGTAAGACCATATACACCATGATGCCAGACCTGTTATTTCAAGAAGAGGAAACGTTTTAAGGACCACAGACGTGGATCTCATACAGTGCAACCTCACTGTGCCATATATTCCTGAGGGTGGACTTGGAAGTGTTCCAACCTTTGCCTTTGCTGTGTGACCTGAGGACAAGTAACTTAGTTTCCTCCTACATATGATGCTGATCATACCCTCCTCATGGAACTGTTGCAACATTTAAGTAAAGGAATGCATATAAAAATGAAATTGCCAGGAGCATGGTAAGTCCTCAATAAATAGTAACCAAATTAATTATTGAGCATAGGGGCAGTTGGTTCTGGCCATCATTTATCCATCGGTCTGTTATAAGTTTACTAATAGATATGTGGTTTACATATATAGGTTTACTACCTACTATAGGGTTAGCAAATAAAAGTGGCAAAACTGGAGGTATACCTCCAATTCGTGTTTTGTTGAGAGTAGCATGGAATAAATGAAAGGGAGAAAGAAAGGGAAATGGGGAAACGGGAAGGGACGGAAGATGGAAGAAGCGATGCTCAAAATAAAGACGAAAGGAATTTTTTAAAAATGCACAGAAGAAAGTGCAGGTAGAAGGGAAGTCAGAAGAGGCAGGTAGGTAAGAGGAAGACAGACCTCGCAGGCCGGGACTGCCGGGTTCCGGCGGTGGGGCGGGCCCGGACTTCGGGAGGCCACGCCCAGTGGGCGGCCCAGGGCTGGAGCCTCGCCTCATGGGTGGACTGGGATCTGGTGAGGCCACGCCCCATGGGCGGACCAAGGCTTCAGTAAGCCACGCCCCGTGGGCGGGCAGAACTGAGAGACCACGCCCCGTGGCGGGGAGAGGGCGGGACTTCCTGTCCGGTGCTTTTCCTTTTCTCCCTCCGGAAGAGCCGAGCCGCGGATCCCGCCGGGAGCGCGGGGAGCCGGACGCCCTCCAGCCCGAGGTGAGCCCTGTGTCCCCGCGACCCCGCGCTGGCCCGGGCAGGGCGCCTTCGCTCCCGAGGTGGTGTCCTGAGCCACCGCGGCCGAGTGACCCCACGCGCGGCCCCCAGGTTGCGTGGCGGTTTCGCCCTCGCGACCTCACTGCGGCCCTGCGGCAACTCCTGTAGAGTAATGGCCCCTTTTCATCCTACCGATTCCCAAGAAGCTCGGGGACCTGGCGTCTGCCCAGGGTCACCTCGTCACGGCGTGAGGGATGGGGCAGCGTCCCGATGCCCTGCTGGGCACAGGCGACAGGAAGGTGGCATGACTCTCCACGCCGGGAAGGCGGTGACCAGGACAGAAGCAGTCGAGAGTGCTTCAGGTCTTTCGGAGCATGAAGGTGACTGACGCGTGGCCCCTGGCACCCAGAGACGTCGTACTCAGGTGGCTGGGAAGATGGGGCCTGCCCACCAGCGGCCGGAAAGTGAGGAGCACGTCGCTGAGGGCCGCAGAGCTGTGCTCGTGTGCCGGGCTCCTGCAGGCCAAGGCGTCCTCGCAGCGCCCAGCTGCATGCGCCCTCCAAAGGCACGGGGTTCAGACTCGGACCCAGCGGCTGCCTGCTGAGGTGACTGGCATTTATAGCTGCAGGCCATGCCTCTCCTCTGAACTCGGGGTTCATACAGTCCGCTGCCTAATCGACATGCTTGTTGGGTTTCACAATTAAACTCTTGAGCTCCCCAACTCCCACCTAAATCCCCAAATGGACTCTTTTCTGTTGCTCCCTGTTTCAGTAGATGTCACCATTATCCATTTAGTAGCCAAAGTGGGAAGTCCGGGTATCAGGGAACTCTTCCTCGCCCTGATATCCCCCTATCCAATCTATTACTCAGTGTCCCCACTTACCTCCCAAAGCAGACATCTCTTGATTCTGTCGACTTTTCTACCTGTATCCCCAACGCCACCCCAGCCCACGCAGGTGTCCGCCAGCCGAAGCCGTCAGGTGTCCTGTGGACCCCTGCGTTGTAAGCCTAAATCCCCTAACTGATCCGCCCACCCACTCTGCATTCTTCCCTGCACCCGCCAATCAATGGCCGCACATCATAATCTTATCTCTGAGGCCCCGCCTCCCCAGCCTCATCCCTCCCCGTTCCCCTTGATCCTGAGCTGTCACACTGAGGCCTTTCTACTCCTCACACATCAGGTGTCCTGCAGTCGTCTGGTCCTTCAGACCTTGGTTTAGTCACGTCCTCAGGAGGACCTTATCCGAAACTCAAGAGCAGGTCAGGGCTGGGGGTAGATGCTTCTCATCGCACTTGGCCAGCAGAAGCGGCTCAACGTGCCTGCCCTTTGCCCTGCCCTGCCCTCCCCCAGCCTCCCCTTTCCTATGCTCTGAGCACCTTCATGGGGGCACTGGATCTTCAAGATGAAGCTCTGTCAGTTGTTCTCAGTTATAAAGGTGACCTAGTTATGGTGGTTTTTATAAATAATGGCGTATTTTTCTGAGGCTGACAGCTTAAAAAGCTTCACTGTCCTGGGTACAGATTTTAGAGCATGGTCCAGCCAGTGGCGAGTTATTTTAGTCTTCCCTTCAGAAGTCAGTGGAAAGCTGGACAGTTTGGAACACCAAAATAGGTTGTTTTGTTTTTTTTTTCCCTGTCTGAAACTCAGGAAGAGAAGTTTCTTTTTTGCTTTATTATTATTATTTTTTAGTCCTGGAATTTTCTTTCCAGCACTCCCAAGTGCCTCTACCTTCTGATATAATAAGGTACATTTCTGTTGAATTTGGATTTTATACCTCTCGTTTCCCGTGGCCTGGATCAGTAATGACATTAATCTGTCATCTGTTTGGAGTGTGTCATTTCTTTATTTGGCTTATGAAGAGATACTATCCCTTATGCTGTTGGCTTGTGAAATTCATACAGCGAACTTGTGCTAAGTAAATTGCTGGCAAAGACAAGTTATACCCAGCCTATGGGTACAACTGCTGCCCCATCCTAAACAGAACAAGCAGGCTGTGAAGGGGCAAGAGCTGTCCCTGAGTCTGCTGAGCCACACGGCCTTCAGCTCAAAGTAGCCCACGTGCCACACGGGCACATTCTGGGGAGACTTGTTCTGAACCCCTTCAGATGCACCTGTCTTTGAAAATATTTCTGTGTCCTCCATTCCCCAAACCAGGGTTGTTGTCGTTTTAATCTGATGTGATATGGGCACTTCGGGAGACATTCTTGGAGTATTTTTTGCTCTGAAAATGTTTCTGCAATGGAAGGGGAATCATTGAGGTAACAATGTTTTTACCGGGTCCACCAGTGAATCTTGAAAAAAAAGTGAACTCTAGAATCAGGAAGCAAGTGAGACTCGTGAAAAAGTACTTTGCCGACCAAGATGCTTTGTGGACTGACTGCTCTGTGATTCAGACTTTCAGAGCTTTGCGAACCTCTCATCCTGAGCCGCGTTGAATCTGCCCGGAAGATGGCGGACCCTTGGCAGGAGTGCATGGACTACGCAGTGGCCCTAGCCAGACAGGCTGGAGAGGTACAGACGGGGACCTAGGCGGCCCCTGCGTGGTGGCCGTGGGCAGCTGTGGGAGCCTGGTCAGATCAAACGCATCTCCAGCTGCGTTCATTTCACTGAGCACTTGAAACACAGTGAATACTCCAGCTTCATGTCGTTAACTTTTTGTGATGACAGTTGTGAATCTAAAAGAGGATATAAATTAGATGATTTTGTCCCTGAAAAAAAGGTCATAACCACTACAGGCTTATTTTATAAACATCATAGTAGGAATTTTTTAAGGATATCATTTAAGACAGTCCAAATGTTTGAAACCATTTTTGTATTTCATTTTTCAGTTTGATTTAAAATTACTTATGCTTTTCTTTTGTTTACCAAAAAAATCTCTTCAGGTGGTTCGTGAAGCTCTTAAAAATGAAATGAATGTTATGATTAAGAGTTCTCCAGCTGATTTGGTAACCGCAACGGACCAAAAAGTTGAAAAAATGCTTATCTCTTTCATAAAGGAAAAGTACCCATCCCACAGGTATTGCTTATTTCAATTTCAAATGATAAAATGAACCTTGGTTGGAGTTGATATTTTAGACAAAAATTTTGATTCTGGACACAGAAGTGGACTTGAGCCGACTGAGCTGAAAAGGGGTTTGTGTGTGGGGTGCAGGGCAGCTCGGAAGCCCCGACACGGAGTCGGGCTGGGCCTGGGCAGGGCGGACCTGGCTGCGGTCCCCAGGCCCCTGACGCCGATGCCGCTGCCTTCGCTCCCGATTCCGCGTCCTGGGCAGGACCCCCTGCTTGCTGGACCCGGGCTGTCTGCCCAGCTCAAGCTGTCAGGGAGCAGCCAGTGGATCTTCGGGCTCATCGTAGTCAGGCGTGTGTGGGTGCTGCAGAGCTGACGTGACAGGTGTCTGCCGGAGGCACGATCTAGAAGTTCCGTTTCTCTCTCTGAACTGCAGACTTTCACGTGGGAGCGTTAGAGGGTCTGCAGGAAACACCGAAGTCAGGGCTGTCTCCCAGGCACAGACATAGCAGAAACGTCATCATTCTAAAGCTTTAGCTCTGTCACCCTCCACTTTCCGGTCACGCCATTGGCCATCCGTGGCATCTCAGCCATTGAGCAGAAAAAATGTTTAAAGCTGCAACTAAATATACTTCTTCTCAGTGAAAGGGTGTATAACTTAGAGGTGAAAATCATCATAATTATCATTAGGCCAGTTCAATATTGAATAAAGGGAAAATATAAAAACAGAAGCAGGAAAGGAAAGACGAGAACGCTGAGCTCCGACGCCGTTTGGGCGTTCACCTGAGGGTGTCCACAGCGTGCCTTAGGGAGGCCTCAGACGCAGTGGTCCAAGGAGGTGAGCTGCCTTCTCGATGCCTTATTTAATGCTCTCTGATTTAGCTATCTATTGCTGCGTAGCAAACTACCCTAAGACTTAGCAACCCTAGACATGCCTCTACTGATCTTGGCATTGCATTTGAGAATTTTGGATTCTTTTATTTTTCACATGACTTTGCCCTGGGGGAATAAAGCTTTCTCCAAGGGAAAGCGTGGTGTGTAGACTTTAGTTGTGTTTTATAGTAGACTCTAGCGAAGGAGGTGTTAAGATTTGGAAATTGTCGAAAGCAGTGTCAAGAGCTGGAGTTTGTCACTCTCGCCTTTAGTTTCATTGGTGAGGAGTCCGTGGCAGCCGGGGAAAAATGTGTCTTAACCGACAACCCCACGTGGATCATCGACCCTATCGATGGAACGACCAACTTTGTGCACAGGTGAGTCTTTAAAACTGTGATGTTGTATTACTGCTTGTATGTCGACGGAATGGACCGTTAGAGTACTCTGTCATGAACACGTGTCCTTCAGAGAATTGTGTACTTTGGAGAGTGAAATGTGTTACGCAGCATTTTCATCAGATATGGAAGAGGCGACCTGGGCCACGGAGGGCCTGGTCACCATCCTTCCCGCTTTGGGAGTCATATGCGCACGTAAGCCAGCAGCACGCTGCTTCGAGGGCAGTTAGGAAGCTAATGGGGCCGGCGTTGGGATGTTGTCCTTATAGAGTGGCTTTAATCCAGGAGGAAAAACTGTTAAAAAGAGTGTGGGTTGTAGGATCCACAGACCTGGGCTTGAATTCGGGTACTTTTTTTTATAGGCTCTGTGACTTTGGGCCAGTTACTTAGTCTTTCTAAGGCTCGGCTGTTTTTATCTTATCTGCTAATGGTACCTGCCTCAGACTTGTTGGGAGCCGATGAGTAGTACGTTTATAAGAGAACTCAGCACAGTGCCCGGCACAGGGCGAGTGTGTGACTCGGTGTCTTAGCTCTAAAATAAGGCCCGATGGAGTCACCAGTGAGAGCCGGAGCGAGTAGCTCTGTTTGGGATTGCGCGTGGGTGGCGTGTTGGGAGTCGCCACTGTGTATATCTGCTGGTCCGGGGCGGGTAGAGCCTGTGAAGCCGGGGTCTCCATCGGTGCCGCCATGTTCGTATGGGAGGATGCTCGTGAGGGAGGGTGCTTGTGAGATACTGCAACAGAAGGTTATAAAAAGTGGGCTTTTCTTAAAGTAAAAACTCTATTAGATGTTTTTAAAAGTTTTTATTTTGAATAGTTACGTGGAAACCATTTCGTCTGTTTTCTTCATCTTGCTTCTCATCTGAGTCAGAAATTACAACCTCTGTGTCCCAACTGCATGGCAGCGCCTGTGGCTGACGGTTGACTTTTCGGATGTGAAGCTCCAAGCTGGGTGTTAGAGCTGAGACAAGTTTTATTCTGTACAGTTCATACCTGTGTCTGTAGGTCCAGGCTGTGGGAGAAATGACCAAAGAAACGGAACTTCTTAACCATGATCAATTAAATTTTGTTTTTATTTTTGGGGGAAAAAAAAAAAAAAAAGTTCCTTCTTTGTGGCATTCGACATTGAGAGGATGTAAAATGGCACACAGTGCGGAGTGGCCGTCCCGCTTCCGTCCCCAGGCCCCGGGCCCCGGCTCGGGAGCCGACCGCTGTGACCAGTCTCTTGGGCGGCCAGTCAGAGGTGTCGTGCCTTAGAGCTTCCTGTGTGTGTCTGTGTACACGACTCCTCACCCCACCGTTTACACACGGGGTTGCGTGCTATACTGTACGCACTGTTCTGGGGGGGGCGAGTAGGTAAGACTTTGTATGAAAAATTTTGTAAGCAGTTATATTATAAAAAGTACATGTTTATTGAAAATAAGGTTTATCTTGGTAAATTTATATTTTTGTGGTTTTTTTTTTTCTCCAAAGATTTCCTTTTGTTGCTGTGTCGATTGGCTTCGTTGTAAATAAAAAGGTACGTTACATAGATTTATGGTTGGTAATATGCCTTGCTCTCATTTTGCTAGAAAAAGTAAGTGTTTCCCCATAATAAATTTAGGTTTGTCTCTATATTCAATGTACACAGCTGTATTATTTTGAAATAAACTACAGGACAGTTAAAATTATCATGATACTTTTTCCAGTGAAGAAAGTTTAATGCTTTTTGAGAAGCAAGAGTTGTAAGGAAAAAAACACATCCAAATAACTGAACTACAATTCAGTATTTAATCCCATTATATGTGTAATAGAGTCAGATGGAGTAGGAGTTGACACATGACCTTAAACGCTTAACGGAAGAGGCGGGATTTGAACTGGGAATGCTGTATTCGGTGTCGGTGAGACACCAGGCAGGGGCCAGGGCATGGCTGGGAAATGGAGTGTGTGAGGCCCAAAGACTTGCTATGTCTGAACCCAGTGGAGCAGAATCTGTAGGTGTTGCGTCTCCTTGTGGTCTGGCTGTTTGATCAGTCGATGAGTGATGTTTGTGAATAGCTTACAAACCTGTCTTTAAGCAGCTCTCACACAGGTAAGAAATCTCTGAAAATGAGCGCGGGAGGGAGCAGGGTTGGTGACATGAGCCAGTGTGATCTTCCTGGCAGCTGGGGCCTGTCCACGCCAGAACGTGTAGATGTGCATTTTAGGCAGTGAGAACCAGAGGCGTCTGAGTGCGGAGGGACAGGTGATTCTGGCAGCGTGGGGATTAATTCCGGGCAGGCAGGTGCTTCCGAATGAAGGTGGCACAGTGAGAAGTAAGTGTTTCCCCATAATAAATTTAGGTTTGTCTGTATATTCAATGTACACAGCTGTATTATTTTGAAATAAACTACAGGACAGTTAAAATTATCATGATACTTTTTCCAGTGAAGAAAGTTTAATGCTTTTTGAGAAGCAAGAGTTGTAAGGAAAAAAACACATCCAAATAACTGAACTACAATTCAGTATTTAATCCCATTATATGTGTAATAGAGTCAGATGGAGTAGGAGTTGACACATGGCCTTAAACGCTTAACGGAAGAGGCGGGATTTGAACTGGGAATGCTGTATTCGGTGTCGGTGAGACACCAGGCAGGGGCCAGGGCATGGCTGGGAAATGGAGTGTGTGAGGCCCAAAGACTTGCTATGTCTGAACCCAGTGGAGCAGAATCTGTAGGTGTTGCGTCTCCTTGTGGTCTGGCTGTTTGATCAGTCGATGAGTGATGTTTGTGAACAGCTTACAAACCTGTCTTTAAGCAGCTCTCACACAGGTAAGAAATCTCTGAAAACGAAAACACAAATTAATGCAAATGCAGCCTTAGCCACGGGGCTGTGCTGATGGGTGAGAACGGGCGGAAGGAGCTCAGTGAGCACTGACCGGCCACTCGGCCCTGGGCCGCGTGTGCTCCGGCCACAGAACCCACGCCCAGTTCAGCGCCAAAGTTAGATGCGTGAACGGATGAAAATAACATGTGGTGGAACCACAGGAAAAGCCCCGCGAAGAGGGTGTGGCGAAGTCTGCCCAGAAAAAGGTCTTAGCATTGGGTCGTGTGAGCTGAGTCTTAGAACATCACGGGTTCGCCAGGTCAGGAAGGAAAGGAAAGCATCTTAATGAGGACCGCTTGGAGAGCGTCAGGTGTGCGGGGAACGGAGAGGTGGGCGTCCGGGCCAGTGACAGCTGGAGCGCGGGAGGGAGCAGGGTCGGTGACGTGAGCCAGTGTGATCTTCCTGGCAGCTGGGGCCTGTCCACGCCAGAACGTGTAGATGTGCGTTTTACGCAGTGAGAACCAGAGGCGTCTGAGTGCGGAGGGACAGGTGATTCTGGCAGCGTGGGGATTAATTCCGGGCAGGCAGGTGCTTCCGAATGAAGGTGGCACAGTGAGAATGGCGGAGGAAATGCCCAAATCAAAGGTCCAGCCTGGAGGAGGGCTGGGGAGGGAGCGAGGCCGGACCGGGCGGTGAGCGTTTGACCGCCGTTGGGGAGGTTTCTGCAGAGTAGGCTCTTAGCGGGATGACAAAGCTGGTGCTCGTTGATTTGTGGGCTGGAAAGAACCAACCTGTGAGAATTTGACGAGCTAAACTAAACGGGGAATGGAAGAAAGGAAAGAATGGAGAAACGCCGGGGGACACAGCTCGTAAGGGTTAGGCGGAGAAGGAGGTCCTAAAAAAATGACACCAAGACGGGCATTGAGCGGGGCAGGAGGGCTGGGGGGCCTCCCAGAACCCTGGAGGCACTGGATGGAGTACCGAAGAAGCATTGGGGACTGTCGGCTGTCACCAGTTCTTCAGAGAAGCCACTCGGCCAGTGGGAGTTAGTTCACTGTGCCCTCTTCGCAGGGAGTGTCCGAAGCAGGCGTGCGTACGGCAGAAATCGAGTCGCGCTGGATTAAGAGAATGGGAGATGCACAGTGTAGACTAGACCTTGGCAGTGAGGGAAAAGCAGAAGATAACATTCTGGAGGTTTTGTAAGGGAGGGAGAAATCCGGGGAGAAGGTACCAGAATCGATTTTCAAGAGAACAGGGGTCAGCGGATGGAGCAGCTTTTCGGAGAAGTGGGTCAGGGTCGGAATCGTAACTCAGCGGGGAGGACTCAGCTTAGCAAGCGGGAAAGCTCTGTCCTCATCTGAGGCGAGAGGCAGAGGTCAAGGTTGGGTCAAGGTTGGCGCTCTCACGTTAAGAAGCAGACGCATGGGAGTCAGCGATTCAGATCTGAGGCCCTCCTCCCTCTGGTTAATCTCCGTATGAGCATTTTAAGGGTCTCACAGTTTAGCCATTTGACAGCACTACTCGTCAGGATACCAGGTTTTCTTAGAAAAAGTATTGATGTCACGGAGACGAATAGCCAGCTTGGGTAAAGGAAACTTGTTTGTCGTCCGCAGATGGAGTTCGGAGTTGTGTACAGCTGCGTGGAGGACAAGATGTACACGGCCAGGAAGGGAAGAGGGGCTTTCTGTAACGGGCAGAAACTGCAGGTTTCACAGCAGGAAGGTGGGTCGACCCTCTCTCTCATTTTTGGTGCGATTGATACGATGTACTTGTATTTTGTTGTTTGGGGATGTTAACCGATTCATAAATTGTTCTTTTTCATTTGACTGGGTTGTGAATGTGGTAGTGGACACGGAAAAAGCAGGTGGAGCTGAACAACCACACTTCTGGGTCAGCGCTCGCCAGGTGCGGGGGCGGGAGGGTGAGGGGCTGGCTCCGTGCCCCCAGGGACTTCGTGGTGCCTGACTTCAGCAGCTGCATCCCAAATTCTTCGTAGAATCCCTCGGTCTGACGCCACTGGGATCAGTTATTACACAGGAAATTGGAAAAAATTCTGTTAAAGTTGAGAGTTATTAAAAATGATGCCTATACGTTTTTTATGATTGTGACAGTTGGCATTGCAAGTGTTCTTTCTGTGTGACGGAAAGCCGACCGAGGTTTTGAGTCACCCTTCTTCCGTAAACCGTGTCCAACATTTTACATAGTTCGCTTCAGATTCTTTTAAATGCAGCAGGATACTTGCAAAACAATTTGAATTCAGAATCCCCCAACACTGTCAGGATTTTTCTCCTCGAATGCTTAGTTTGAGAACAGATTTTTTTCATTTCCTTTTTTATAGAGCTCTAAGAGCCCGAAGATTGGAATAAGCGTCCTGCTTGTCAGGGTGTGAACGTGTGAAAAA